TTAACTGTTAAGTGATAATTATGTAGGTTTTCATCTTGAGCGTGTCCAAAACTAAAGCAAACGTTTTGGAATAATTACACGTATTTCCCGAACAGTTTCTGCTGAACTCTTTTTGATTTATCTTTCAGTTTATCAATACCCGTAAGAAGCCCATTACATTTTGATAACCGGAGTGCAACAGTCCCACTCAATTTGGTGTCGAGCTAACGTCACGTTGATTCTGGTGGGAGAGTAGTGTGGTGGTATTGGTCTTTGACAACACCATCTTTGAAGCCAAGCATAAACTACTGAGAAGGTTTACATTTTAGATGTAACACCTAGAAAAAGTCCATGATGGTGAGCCGCGAAGAGTTGATCGTCACGGAATTTCTGAGAAGAATGAACTGAAGAAAACAGAAATGGAGACATAAACGAACTCTGAATTAGAACAAACATAGAGGAGTTGAAGGAAAATTGATGGAGGATTTCCAAATGATGTATTAAATATATCGTTTAGACATTTTACACCGAACTCTGTAGTTTTGCACTAAAAGCTGAATTGATATTCTTCACCAAGACTTCGTTCATTGCATAATAACCAAACTATTATTTTTTAACTGCTAAGTGAAGGGTTTTTAGCAAAATTGGAACAAATCTTAAGGTCCAGATATTAATGTCAACTGCGCCAGCGAAAATAATGTCACAACCGAATCTCAAGTATTTGGTATGAAAGCAGAACTAACGCACCAAAGTTTGTTCGATTAATCCAAACTGAGTTCTTCTGTATAGCATACGAAGCTTTTTTGATTGACTAGTATTAAATCATGTCGAAACACAAACTCTGTGTCCCATTTAGACTATTCGAACTTAAGGAAAAAAACAAATATGAAAAATACAAAATATCTCAAACGACACGTCCTGTTCTATACAGCTGAAGGCTTCTCTAGCATAAACTAACGTGCTAAACATCGAAATGAATGGTTAACGAATAAGTGTTCGGCACACCAGAGTCAAAAATAATATTCTCAACAAGTCGGGATCAAATAACAGTCTGTATGTATTAAAGCAACCATGCCAAGCAGACAGTCAAAGGTCGACAACCAGTAACCTTGGAATTAGCGAAGTACGACTCCATTGCCAATGACCTAGCGACATGCAAAAGTAAAATGAAGTAATAATGGTAAATCTTTAACCAAAATCAACCCAAAGTGATTCATATGAAGAAGGCTGAAGAAAAGAAAATATAGGCATGATGAACCTAAATGAAAGTTGAAATATAAGACAGGGAAAGAACAAAGAAATAATGGTACTGTTGAAAAAGATACTTGATGAGAATTTCAGTGTATTCTTTCCGTCCTAATCCTAATATCATTAACTTTGATCTCATTATTATCTAATCTTTCGTTAAAACTATTTGGACGAGTGCAAGTTTTGGTGAAGATAATATCTCATCGATTCTCTACAAACTAACAGAGCTGCATGTACAAACATCAGTACTCAAAATATTTACATCATCCTCAGAATAAGGCTCACATTTCGAAACCTGGAATGTCACGTATGTTGCCCCAAAATGTAAATCAGCGCCACAAAACCTATTTAAGAACTAAAGGTCAATAAATGTCACCTCTATTACATCAAGCGTAGTCGAAAAAGTGATAAAAGATAATTTGTATGATCACCTACTTGAAGAAGGGTTAATCGACCCCTCTCAACACTGCTTAACGTGCCTCATGGTATTAATTAAGTAGTAATTACTAATCCTTTATAGCGATGGATTAAATCTATTTCCACTAACAGGCTGAATGATTAAAATCAACTATAAAATTTTCATACCTCGGCCAATAACCTGTAGTACTGTTCAGTGCAGTGTTTGAGGTTCACTGTTTTTTCCAATCTAATTCAGCAACATATGCACGCGCTTGAACTCCGGCAAGACCTAACTTTACGTCGATGACTAAATACTCATCTGCGAAACCAACATTTGAAACATATAAGGTGTTACACAAACATTCGAGCACGAACTCAACAAGGTAGATAACTGGTGTAGACGCTACAGCATAGAACGCAACACAAGATACGCAGCTGGCTATGTATTGAAGATATGTATATGAAAAAAAAATAGCAATTAACCAGAATGTACTGTCCAAACTCACATTATTACCTGACCTTGAGGTGCATTAACTGCACAGTCTAAACTTCGCTAAACACACCGCCACTAGAGCATCGAAAATGAGGAAATTGCTAGGCTTCATTCTTTGTTACTTTTTCAATATGAAACTGGAATCATTCTTTACAAGATATATGTAAGACGTATCGTTGAATACAATTTGTTCTTATTTTCGAACTGACGCTTGCCCTATATGCTGAAGATGGAATGAGTACAATGGGATTTCACTCTCAGAATGCTTAAAACTGATCCACTAATTGGCTATCGTTGCCGATACCAAATCCTAGGACTTGAACCCCTTTGGAAAGAAGGCTTAAGTCCACTATGATTCTCTTCCCCAAGCTTAGAAATCCTACTCACTCCACTCAGAATATAGTCCTTTCCGAAGGCTCACATAAATACGATCTCTGAGGTAAAACGTCCACAGTCAAAGTAAAAAAAATACTGGATAAAACCTCAAGAAAACTTCGCCATCAAGTATGCATTATCATGGAACAGTTTTACCTCCAAAATACGCATGACAGATGGACTACATAAGTCCTTAAACTTTTTTGTTAAAACCCTTACTTTCGCCTACAGGCGCGAATAAATTTACACTCTACGCAGATATCGTAGGCTCTCTACATGTCCATATTACATCACGACATTGGTTTCATTTCTTTCTTCTTCTTTGAAGTTATATTAAGTACTTTTCCGTGGCTACATGTCCCTCTTTAATTTCCGATCAAAGTAGACAGATAACTCACTGGATCTATCGATACTGCTCAACTATAGTCGACCACAAGAGACGCTGACCACTATCCTAAAGAGTTGCCAAGTGATCATTACATTTTCCTGCCCAACTACCAGTGGTCTACTTTCAAGTGGTTATTCTACAACAACCATAAATTTGACAAATAGTCAAATTACATAAGTGCTTAGTAGCAACATAATTCTACTACGCGAATGACCAGTTTTCAGCCACGTATATGTTCGTTAAGGTCACAGTTTGTACGCGATTTCGTTTTTGAACAGATCATAAGAACTGTAAACCAACAGTAAACTATCATAAATCCGTTGTTATACTTACACTATTATTGGTGGTTTTATCAGCTTCATAACCCTACTTCGTCGGTATTTTATGTGTCAAACCCACGTTGTGAATTTTTGATAACACCCTTAGGATTGGATTGTGCCTGGTATGTCAGGAAAATATTAATAATATTATCATGTGCATCGCCTCCCTAGATTGTCACCTATACAACCCCTTATTTCATGGAGTAATGTTGAAGTTTACGCGGGGAAAATAATAGTTGGTTGTTAACATGGAAATATACTCACGTTGTAGTCGGGCCAGTCATGTGTTCTCAATCCCAGTTGTGTCGAAGCTTCATTAGATATACACTACGAGGGTATTTGGTGTAGATATTCATCCATAGCCAATAAGTATTCCATTGGTGTAAAGAATAGAATCGAGCGTTATTTCAAATGTACACAGTAACCACGCTGCCGCTGGTATAGGGACCCAAATGTAGCAAAAGGCAAGTCACCTTCGTTAAGATTGACCTTGAATTCAGTGCTCGTCACGGAAGAAGCGTTGTCAGCATCTCAGAGACTATTTGTTGAACGGCTCTCTCAAACCCGACTTATGTGATAAAACGTGTACCAAGAAGCACCGGATAGTCAATCAAAATTGTGTTTCACGGAGTATCAAATGGAGAGTGATGGTTCCTACGAAGCCCACGAACAAGCTGTGCTACAGTTGCGCTTGATATCAAGTTATTTAGGCCTTCGTGCCATTATGAAAACTAACGTTTCGAGGCTATCTTGTCCGTTGCACCTCACGGCCGTCTGTGTCGATGAATAACTACTTGTGTTTGAAATATATTATCCGTCCTTTGAGTCTGACCACTGGCTTATGTGCTCAAGTTCAGGGCAGAGAGAAAGGCCAAAGGGTTGTGGACTAATAAAGACAAATCCTTAACATAGAGTCACTAGTGCTGATTGGGTGTTTAGTTAGTCAACTCGGAAATAATTAGTCATACCCATCGTGACTCTGATTGGTAGTGTTTTCACGTAATATTAGTCAGCGATTATTCCACGATATCCAGCTGGGGATTTCAACATTCTATAATCTAATCTCAGCAAGCAAAACAAAACCCCTGTACAGCGATTTCATAATGGACTTGTTCGGGATTGACAGAAAATGTGGGTCACACCAACAGTGAAAATTCCTCAAAACTAGACCATTCGCTAACAAATGATCAGCTTCTAGTCGAAGATGTTCATTATTCGGCATCAATGGGGAGTAGTGTCCCATGAACACGTGAACACTGGTGGATCATCATCTCTCGATTAAACTAGATGTGCCTCATGCATGCCTCATAACTTACCTACTGTTGTCACTACCACATACCACTAATTTGTACCTGCCACGCCTTTGATCACCCCTTTTCCCCTTTCACCCTTACACTTCTGTTTCACACTGCCTGAAATTCGAATTAATTGACCAACAATATATTTATTTAGTTTCTGAAACTATCATCTGGCATCCGAATATTCACTTAACTATTTCTCATATTGCAACTAACCGTCCTCCTGTCTGGTAATGTGCAACTGCCAGATTGACTAGAATTAGTGCAGTTGAGAGGCTGAACTACCGTCAATTAAAGATTGCCAAATACCCGTAACCGTGCCGAAACAGCAAGAAACTGGTTCAAACAAGTGGAGCGGTTTATAAAAGGTTGTCGTAAGTATACTGGAGCTACTGGATAGTAAATAAACGAAATATGAAATTAGATCAGTATATGTGTTTGTATGCTCTAGATTCTGAATTACTCCAACTGAAGCGGTTTTTCGAAAATTATGGTTAGTGATGGATGTTTTGAGAAAGCGACTGAATGAATTTAGAGAAGAGGAAGACGATTTAAGAAGTAAAGTCTCAGACATTGAAAGTCAGATTAAGTGTGTGGTCGATGAAACTCACAAGGTAGTTCGTTCATTTTGTCCATAATTTGTTCTTTAGGTTAATTCAGAACAGTATGAACTTGCTGCTAAAGAAATGTTACTTAAGCAAAAGTGTCAAACGCAAAACGACAGATTAAAAGATGCGCTTAACAGGCTTTCCGACCATCAAGATAGTCATGACCATCATTCTAGGTAAACTCAGTGCTACGTTTCTGAAGATTTTAGAAAATTGGAAAACTTGAACCACAAGAATTATAGCCAGGACTCGAAAATGGATGAATTAGAAACAGAGCTGATGCGACTGCGGAATGAGTGCTTGGAAGTTCAGGCTCGTGTTGATGAAGTCGGTCCACTTCTCTCTTGTTGCATTTGTAGACTGTAATTCATCTGAAACATGTAGAATTTGCCAAAGAAAATGCTGAAAAACGAGCCAGTGCAACCGAGTCGTATGATTATAATTTGGTTACATTGTATTCTTAAAGGAAAGTTCAAGACCTCGAATCGCAACATACATCCACATTAGAGGCTTTGAGACGTGCTGAGCTAAGTGATATACAGGTAAGTAATGTTGCACAAACGTATGTTAGCTAGTTTTACAAAAAGCCTTGACTTGAGCACTGCCAGTTACTGATGTTTTGTTGCCAGTCGTTTGTCTTTACAGTTGGTTTGGTCTTTAAGTTGTTCACCAGGATTGAGTTTGTTAGGGTATGAATTAGTATATAATGACTCAGGGTCTTAGGATTCTTGATATGAATGTCTGCAAGAACATATGTTATGTCTCAGTTTGTTGAATAAAGGCCTTTTCTTGCTTGGATGCCTCAAACAGTTTGTATCTGACAAAAAGTAATAAAAAGTTGAGCAAACGAATCATCGAAAGATCTGAGATTTGTCAGTACTTAATGTTTTAAAGGATTAATCCCCGCGATTTTAATTGATGCCGACCCATGTTTTTTAAGTGCTTAGTTTGTAAACTAGTTTTTACAAGTTAAGTAGTTTGTTCAAACCACGTGTATCGGACAAGGTAACCATGTAGATTATAATGCGTTTTTATGGAGTTAGTAGTATAAAGAACTTTTTTCTATCCAAATGAAGCTCCGCACTCATAAAGTTCTCGTCTTTTGAAAGCATCCTATCTTCCATTTTTTAAATGTTTCCAGAGGTACTAAACGTGCCTTAGTAAAAATCGTCCAAGGGTTATTGACTAACCTATTTAGTGCAAAATTTTTAATTCGTGGAATTTACGAGATGATTTCAAACATCCTAGCATCTTAAACTATGGTCGAGTAATAGTATCATTATGGAGTAATAATTGTGTAGGGCTGAAAACCATGAATAATTTGAGTTCTTAGTACGGTTGTCGAGGGACTTTAATTTCGTGAGTCATTGTTCTTCGCTAAGATGGTGAACTCTTAGTATTTTTATTATTGGCTTTATTTCGTATATTTACTTTTAAACGAAATGTTGACTTAATAGCTTCATGAACTAGACTGACTCCATCTATGGAAGCATTAATTGCTGTATTCAGAAACTTAAACTCAGTGATTGGTATCCATATTCATAAATTTTAATTCGCTCCTACTAACAATCTTAGATAAATATACTTCTGTACTACTAAGCAAAAATTGTTAATGTGTGTGTTTTTTCATGCATCACACATGCGATAATTGCTATCAAAATGGTTGCCTGCCCTGGTACTTATCTGATGATGGCGAGTTATCTTAACCGTATAAATGCTTTCGGCTGATTTTTAAATTATTTTGCTCATGTACGTATAAATCATTTAAGTGGTGAAAATTCGTTTAGGCATGTAATCACTCAAAACTTTATGGTCTAACAGCTATTTGATTTTCATTTGGTATCAATAAGACTTAGTTATCTGATAATTAGTCTCGAAATTCACATTATCCCAATCTTTTTTGTTTTTTTTATTCATAGTATCTATCTACAGATGATTTGGAAATGAAGGAAAAAGACTTACGGGAACAGTTGCAGAGGGTAAGATACTCGGTATTCCTTATTAATGTTGGGTGTGTTTTGCCTATACAATTTCTTCATTAAAGCACTTCATAAATGTTCCGGTAAAGCATACTCTTCATACAGTTGTGCTAACTGACTTACAATACAAAGATGGTTCCTACAATAATTTTTTGTCAACTGCTTAATGAGTCGAAACATTTTGTGGATATAAATATGCTTTTAAAAGTTTTATCTAATAAAAAATAACAGTTGGAAGTCACCTTTGTATGATACAAAACTACCCAACTGAATAGTGTATATATGAATTAAATACAATAGCCCTTTAGTGGCTTAATAATTTATAAAAATGGTATGCGGTTCTAAAACCTAGTACATTTTTATATCACTCTAACTACATGTGGACAGATACATGAAAAACTCAAATAAAGCCGTTGTAACACGCTAATGATACATCACTATTGCTGTATAGTCATAGGTATTCAGAAATCTATGCCTATTACATTGGATAAATAGACAAATCTTATTTCTTGTATAAAACTATTATCTTCTGTTCCTCAACATCATTTCGTTTTTTTATATGTATGTATGCAAAGTAGATCGAAGTTCAAATCAAAACCAACATCACCCAAACAGTAAATTTTGAGATGGCTTTTCATTATTGGAGATGACGTTTGCTTTCCATCATAAAAGATATGTCGCACCACTATATATTGAATCTGGTTATATTTTAAGTCACTCATAATCAACAACCATATCAGGCATAATCTTAAAAATGCTAAATCTTTGCATTTCTAAAAGTGCATGTAGTATTTATCTTACATTAGATCTTTTAAGTTTAATTTTTATCTTATAAAGTATTCGTAATTTAAAAGATCGTTTGCCCATTTAGCTTTCTAATTCTACTGCGTATATATATATATATATATATATATATATATATATACATATAATTTTATAACATTTTCGGTGTATTAGTGTCATTTATCTGTATACAGGAGATAATACTTTTTTATCATAAATTAGTAGTAGCAATCTCATGAAATTCGGCGTGACAAATATATGTTTTTGATTAAGACTGTTATTTATACCTCTCATGTTTTGTTTGTTAAACCATCGATAAATTTTAATAAATATTCATAGTTATCAAGGCAGTTCAGTGAATGAGCTCATCAATGAGACTTCTATTTTATTAGGTGTTAGATCCGCGAATATTGCAGGTTAAGATTCTTGTCAATTAATTCAAATAAATATTGTCTTTATCCCCGAAAATTCTTTTTCGTGTAGCCGAATCCCGAATTGAGGTCGTAAAAGATCTTGTATATAAACTTTAAATGAAGCTCTTAATTTCATTAAAATTTTTAACCTAAATATGTTAGGTTTATTGCGTCTTTTTTATTCATCAATTTGTGAAGAGTTATCAATACTCCTTCAGTGGAGTGTTCACATTCCAACTCCCTTATGTGGACCCTCCATACCCGCCAACCCAGTTATGGCTCCGAGAATTTACTCTTGTCCTGTGAATTTCGTAAGCAACACTTCCGCTATGAGAAGGCAGTGAGTAAGACTTTCCTGACAGGCTATATACGCGTGGACATGTGAGAGCATTTCGAGGAGAGCGTACTCTCCCCACTCTTGCCCGTACCAGGGTAGTTGGTATAATTTGATATAATTATTTATTTAAAAATGCATTATTTTATAACTTCTGCATTTTAAATTGGGGAATGTCACGACGAAGTTCAACTCTAGATAGTTGTATGCGTGTAAGCGTATTTATGTGCGAACATGCGTGGGGTGTTTTTAATTACAGCTGTCATGTAAAAAGTGATGTTTTGCGCACAGATTTTCACCCTCGGAACTTGTACAAAATAGGGTGCTACATCTCAAAAGACCTACGGTTATTTTTACTTTCTACTCGTTTATTACTGTTTATTTAGGAGATCTCGAGTGTTTTACATGTGTGTATATTAATAATAATAATGATAAGAAAGTATTTTTCGATTCGGACTATTAATTATAGTGACTATTTGATAGTTTGTCTGTTATCAACCGTACTAGCGTACCGTAAAAAAGAAAAGGACGTTTTAACACTGATTTTAAGATTGTAGTTTATTTATTTAAACACATAAGTATTGATACAAAGGGCCACCAGATGCATATGCGCCACACAAATCTCATTTTATTTGTGTGGGGGCTGTGATACTGCCCGAGTTCCCAAACCGAAACAGGTGGTTTTCTTAGGAAACCACACCCGGAGCCTTTGACCTAAAGATCTGATCCATGAGGCAGTGGAGCATCGTACGGGAGATGCAGTCTCACGGTAGCCGTTGACCAACAGTATGTTCATACGCCATTTGTCCCTTCAGGATACTGGAGCGCATGTGCACCATAGGTTAGGAATCAGGGTTTTCCAACTCCCCTAGGTGAACTTTCCGTGTCCATCAATCCGGTTAAAGCGCCGGACATTCGCTTTTCATCCTCTCAATTTCGTAAGCAAACCCCCGCGCCACGAGAAGGCAGTGGGTAGGACTTTCCTGGCAGAGGCTATATATGCGTGGCCATGTGAGAGCATTTGGAGAGGGAGAGCGTACTCTCCCCACTCTCGGCCGTACCAGGGCATTTGGGGGCTATTATCCAATAACAGATTTTGAATTTTCGTCTTTAACTATGATTTTCAGCTTACCCGGATAAAGCGTATACGTTGTGCCGTCATATTTATTGCTACTCAGAGACGAATTATTGTGAATATTTCAGCTCTATAGGCGTCAAGTTGCACCCACAATAACTCAGTTGGTGGTTAATGTCTCTCACTACACTGGATGTTTTTTGAAGATTGTAATCACACTTCGCAAGTATGAAACTTATCTACCGTCTCCAAATATAAGTTGGAGGTTCAAATTCTACAGCACCTATTCTGGCTTCGGAAGTCAATTAGTGTCAGAAGCTCTCACAATAACTTACAAATGTCGTTTAACTTTCAAATGAGCACTGTTAGCGGGATATAGATTGTGTTGAAGTATGTTCCGTGCAGGATTGTGCTTGGGCACAGTGATTGGCTATTTCTTAACCAACCACTGCTAGCGGATGCTTGGAGAAGACTGTAGAATCTTATGTAAAAATTATAAATATACTAATGTTCTTCTCATTGTGCTTCTTGTACTTCCTACTTCCTACTGCTTTGTCTCCAAATGCCTTGGTAAGGCCGTGAGTGGGGAGAGTCTACTCTCCCTCTCGAAATGCTCTCACATGGCCAGCGAATATATAGCCTCTGCCAGGGAAGTCCTACTCACTGCCTTCTCGTGGCGGGGGTGTTGTTTACGAAAGTGAGAGGACGAAAAGCGAATGTCCGGCGCTATAACCGGGTTGGTGGACACGGAGGGTCCACCTAGGGGAGTTGGAAAACCCTGATTCCAAACCAATGGTGCACATGGGCTCCAGTATCCTGATGGAACGAATGGCGGACGAACCTGTCATTGGTCAACGGCTACCATGGGACTGCATCTCCTCACGATGCTCCACTGCCTTGTGGATCAGACCTTTAGGTCAAAGGCTCGGGGTGTGGTCCCCTAAGAAAACCACCTGCTTCGGTTTGGGCACCCGGGCAGTATCACAGCCCACACACAAATTATTTTGTGTGGCGCATATGTACCTGGTGCCCTTTTGTACCAATATATATGTGTTTAAATAAATAAATAATAATTCTTCTCATTGTGCTCCCTACTTCCATCCACCCTAATTATTTGGAATATAATTACGTTCCTGCTCTACCGTGTTCTGATTTGGGGACTCATCGGGTAAAGTAGTGTCCAAGATTACTAAGCAATAATAGCTGGGTCGTAATAAGAGAAATTATAACAAGCACTTTTTTGGGAGCCATGAATTAAATCAGGTCAAACTGCTACACACTAACACTCACTCCTTAATACACAAACACTTTAATAATCAACCTATTATTGTCATTTATTCTTATGGATGACAGAAACTTATTCAGTGCAAAAATAATTATTATTCTCATATGAAATGCGTACTGTTTTTCTAGGCTATAATGTTTACATAAATGTGTGTATAAATGTTGTTAAATACCAGTATATTTTCTATATATTAATGTATAATGTTATTGGGTACATGTTCTTTCCATGACACCAATGTCTCTGGGTCACGATACTCCTATATTTCAAAATGACATCAATATTGAACTGATCAAAAAGTTCGTAATGTTATATCTTGTTCAGTTTTTTTATTTTAAAATCAAATAACTTAATAGCTATTTTCTGACAACATAAAATGGCTCAATTTTCAGTATATGTCAACATGTAATATATATATATAAAGATGTTATACTAATCAGTAGAGTTAGATCGTTCTTAATTTTCGCTGTTCATGTTGTGGCTTTTTAAAATCTAAGCATTTTATGGATTTACATCCTTCGTACAGTTTTTTTAGGGATTCTGTGGTTAGTCATCAGATTTTTATCAGCTTGAACTATCTTATACGTACCTTAATCTAAGTGTCATGGATAGTGTTTCCTACTCAGGATAAGTTGACTTGTATTTAGTTAATCAGAAAACTGTCGTACAGTAAATTTAAATTTGGTTTTTCTTTTTGACGGTTTATTTATTAAAGAGTCTGGTGTCCTTTTAATCTTTTCTACTTCGAATGCGAATTTTTTCCTATAAACCAGTGATAGTATATTTTAATGTTTAATTTGTTACAGTCAGTTCTTAAAATTTGAATTTTCTATACCCTTATCATCAGTCTAAATTATCTCATTAGTCTTCAGCGTATTTATCTATTGGGTTTGAGTAATTTAACCCTAAAAGTGTCACCTCACCACACCCTACAGGTTTCCGTCCTTGGCGGTAAAGCCTTTTGAAACCTAGAGGTACCACACCAAGTAATTATCATGGAATAGTCTTGTGTGACCAGCCTTAAGCGGTTGTCTCTTGGGTCACGCTCCCAGATCTTCATGATCACCTCCAACCCAGTCTCGTGCTCAAGTCCCTCAGAAAGAAATATCCTTC